AGTTCCGGGGGTCAACGCCCCCGCGGCACGGTCTGTGACCAGGCCTCCTGGTGGATCAGAGCCTGATCAACCAGGCTGTTGCTGCTGACTGCACTCAAACCAACATACGAGCCACAGCCCGGCTGGTCAGGAACCGACTTTAGGTGCTTGTCCAGTCCCAGCTTGAAGACTGCCACGGGTCTATTGGTAATCCCCCTTATGTATGCTGGGAGACAGTTGAACAGTCTCGGGCCCCTGACACTTATTGTATGGTCTCTTAACGTGCTAGTGACACCCCTGCTTTTCATTGGGGGGATGTTGTATCGTCTGCCAAGTCTTTTGCTTTCGTAGTGAGTGATTTTCGTGTGCAAGTTCGGTACTAGTCCCTCTAGGATTTTCCAGGTGTATATAATCATGTATCTCTCCCGCCTGTGTTCCAGGGAATACAGGTTTAGGAACCTCAAGTGCTCCCAGTAATTGAGGTGTTTTATCTCCGTTATGCGCGCCGTGAAGGTTCTCTGTACATTTTCTAGGTCAGCAATTTCACCTGCCTTGAAAGGTGCTGTTAGTGTGCAGCAATATTCCAGCCTAGATAGAACAAGTGACCTGAAGAGTGTCATCATGGGCTTGGCCTCCCTAGTTTTGAAGGTTCTCGTTATCCATCCTGTCATTTTTCTAGCAGATGCGATTGATACAATGTTATGGTCCTTGAAGGTGAGATCCTCCGACATGATCACTCCCACGTCTTTGACGTTGGTGTTTCGCTCTATTTTGTGGCCAGAATTTGTTTTGTACTCTGATGAAGATTTAATTTCCTGTGTTTACCATATCTGAGTAATTGAAATTTCTCATCGTTGAACTTCATATTGTTTTCTGCAGCCCACTGAAAGATTTGGTCGATGTCCGCCTGGAGCCTTGCAGTGTCTGCAATGGAAGACACTGTCATGCAGATTCAGGTGTCATCTGCAAAGGAAGACACGGTGCTGTGGCTGACATCCTTGTCTATGTCGGATATGAGGATGAGGAACAAGATGGGAGCGAGTACTGTGCCTTGTGGAACAAAGCTTTTCACCGTAGCTGCCTCGGACTTTACTCTGTTGACGACTACTCTCTGTGTTCTGTTAGTGAGGAAATTATAGATCCATCGACCGACTTTTCCTGTTATTCCTTTAGCACGCATTTTCTGCGCTATTACGCCATGGTCACACTTGTCGAAGGCTTTTGCAAAGTCTGTATATATTACATCTGCATTCTTTTTGTCTTCTAGTTGTGTACTCACTCCTATCCAATTAAAGCCAAACTAGTCCACGGCCGTATCATTGCTACCTACGCTACCTTCATCGGCACTAAACCGCTGTTCAGCAGCAAGAACAGTAATAACATAAGGGTCCACAATCCAAATAAATTCATTATGAACGAGACCCAAAATTTGGTCATTTAAAAAATCTCAGATATTATTCTAACTCCACAAGACTTTGAAAAGGCAATAAATGATATGTCCACGCAATCTGCCCCACGCCCAGAGTCATGGAACTCCGTGTTCATCAAGCATTGCAAGAAGAACATGTCGCGTTCCTTCATCTTTCTATGGAGAGGGAGCATGGACACAGGGGTCATCCCACACACACTGAAAGCAACAGACATAGCCCCACTCCACAAAGGTGGCAGTAAAGCAATTTCAAAGAACTGCAGACCGAAAGCACTAACATCCCATATCATAAAAATCTTTGAAAGGGTCCTAAGAGACAAGATCGCCAACCATCTAGATACCCATCAGTTACATAACCCAGGGCAACACGGGTTTAGAGCAGGTCGCTCCTGCCTGTCCTAGCCACTGAATAAACAACATACAGATGTTGTATGCACAGATTTTGCAAAAGATTCCGACATGTGTGACCATGGTGTAATAATGCACACAATGTGTGATACAGGAATAACAGGAAAAGTTGGTAGATGGATTTATAACTTCCTGACAAATAGAACACACAGGGAAATAGTAAATATTCTATTCTCATCTATTCCTCATCCTCATATCTGAGAGAGATGTAAGCCATAGCTCCGTGTCTTTCTTTGTGGATGACACCTGGATTGCCATGACAGTGACCTCCATCGAAAACACCGCAAGACTCCAAACGGGCATCTGGAGTTTACCTGGAGAGAGTTCCAGGGGTTAACGCCCCACGGCCCGGTCTGTGACCAGAACTCATGGTGGATCAGAGCCTGATCAACCAGGCTTTTACTGCTCCCTGCACGCAATCCAACGAATGAGCCACAGCCCAGCTGGTCAGGTACCGACTTTAGGTGCTTGTTCAGTGCCTGCTTGAAGACAGCCAGGGGTTTATTGGTAATCTCCCTTGTGTGTGCTGGGAGGCAGTTGAACAGTCTTGGACCCCTGATACTTACTGCATTGTCTCTTAAAGTGCTAGTGACACCCCTGCTTTTCATTGGGGGGATGTTGCATCGTCTGCCGAGTCTTTTGCTTTCGTAGTGAGTGATTTTCGTGTGCAAGTTCTGTATTAGTCCCTCTAGGATTTTCTAGGTGTATATAATCATTTATCTCTCCTGCCTGCATTCCAGGGAGTACAGGTTCAGGAACTTTAAGCGCTCCCAGTAATTGAGGTGTTTTATCTCCGTTATGCGTGCCGTGAAGGTTCTCTGTACATTTTCTAGGTCAGTAATTTCACCTGCCTTGAAAGGTGCTGTTAGTGTGCAGCAATATTCCAGCCTAGATAGAACAAGCAACCTGAAGAGTGTCATCATGGGCTTGGCATCACTAGTTTTGAAGGTTCTCATTATCCATCCTGTCATTTTTCTAGCAGATGTGATTGATACAATGTTATGGTCCTTGAAGGTGAGATCCTCCGACATGATCACTCCCAGGTCTTTGACGTTAGTTTTTCGCTCTATTTTGTGGCTGGAATTTGTTTTATACTCTGATGAAGTTTTAATTTTCTCAGGTTTACCATATCGGAGTAATTGAAATTCCTCATCGTTGAACTTCATATTGTTTTCTGCAGCCCACTGAAAGATTTGGTTGATGTCCGCCTGGAGCCTTGCAGTGTCTGCAATGGAAGACACTGTCATGCAGATTCGGGTGTCATCTGCAAAGGAAGACACGGTGCTGTGGCTGACATCCTTGTCTATATCAGATATGAGGATGAGAAACAAGATGGGAGCGAGTACTGTGCCTTGCAGAACAGAGCTTTTCACCGTAGCCGCCTCAGACTTTACTCTGTTGACTACTACTCTTTGTGTTCTGTTTGTGAGGAAATTATAGATCCATCTATCAACTTTTCCTGTTATTCCTTTAGCATGCATTTTGTGCGCTATTACACCATGGTCACATTTGGCGAAGATTTTCGCAAAGTCTGTGTATATTACATTTGCATTAACCAAATCTTCAAATGGGCCACTCAAAACAATATGAAGTTCAATGAAGAGAAATTTCAACTACTCACATATGGAAAACTTGAGTAAATTAAAACTGTATCAGGGTATATGACAAATTCTAATCATACAATAGAGCGAAAAAGTAATGGGAAGGACCTCGCCTTCAAAGACCACAACAATGTATCTACTGCATCTGCTAGGAAAATGATAGGGTGAATAATGAGAACCTTCAAAACTTGGGATGCCAAGCCCATGATGATTCTCTTCAAATTGCTTGTTCTCTCTAGGCTGGAGTATTGCTGTACACTAACTTTCCCCTTCAAAGCAGGCAAAATTGCTGACCTGGAGAGTGTACAAAGAACTTTCATGGCACACATAAGTACGATAAGGCACTTAAATTACTGGGAACAGTTGAAGGCCCTTGACCTGTATTCCCTGGAGTGCAGGCGAGAGAGATATGATAATATACATTTGGAAAATCCTAGGGGGATCAGTACCAAATATGCACACGAAAACATTCCCCCGATGAAAAGCAGGGGGTGCCATGAGTACACTGAAAGACAACACAATAAGTGTCCGTGGCCCAAGACTGTTCAACTGCCTCCCAACATACATAAGGGGGATTGCCAATAGACCCCTGGCTGTCTTCAAGAACGCACTGGACAGGCACCTAAAATCAGTACCTAACCAACCGGGCTGTGGTTCGTACTTTAGTTTGCGTGCGGCCAGCAGTAACATCCTGGTTGATCAGACCGTGATATACCATGAGACCTGGTCTCACACCGAGCCACGGGGGCATTAACCCCCGAAACCCTCTGCAGGTAAACTCCAGGTATGCCTGGGGGCACATCCTGCCTGCTGCCTCTCTTCTCTCTGCCTCCAGCAAGGGTGTCCCGTAACACGATTGCTAATGCACTCAGCTCACACACTGAAGTCCAGAGTTCGAATCCCCGGTATGGCTGGCACCTGGGTGTTAGCGGACTGGTGTGGGTTGCATCCTGGGACAAAATTGACCTAATTTGCCCGAAATGCTCTGCATATCAAGCGGCTCTCTATATAGTATATCACTGATGTTAGCTAGACTTGTATACCTTATACACGTACTTGTAGAAATAAAGATATTATTATTATTATTATTATTATTATTATTATTATTATTGTTGTTGTTGTTGTTGTTGTTGTTGTTGTTGTTGTTGTTATTAAGGACTGACCGTTTTTGCTTGAATCTCCTTTTTCCTTCATCACTGCATGCTCCTGATGATGTGCCGATTGCAACACGAAAGGCCTAGAGCCATCATTCCCCCCCCCCCCGTGGTTGTTTTGCATATTGTGTCTTGTTTGCGATATTTGCATAATAAATGTATATTCATGATACCATCTGTTACTTTAATGTGAAATATTTCAGTTTGTCACTAGTTACGTAACACATTGAGTAGGCTGTTTTATTTTTTATGTATGTATTTGTCCATTACTTTAAATTTAACAAATCTTCATTTAATCATTTGTAATATACATTTTTCTTCGAGTTACTTGTCATATTATAAACCTTTGACTCCGTCATTTATAATATACATGATTTTGATTCTCACTTGAAATGTTATACAGGATTATTTCGTTTTTTATATTTTCAGTGGTGATGTTTTGGTAAACTGTGAGAGACTCAACTTGGCATGAACTTCGCAGAAGCAATAAGTTTTAAATCAATTATAATACATGCAGAAGAATCAGCAGCATCATTCACAACTTTATCTGCAGACGTGTGAAAGAATCAGCAACAGTTTCTGCAGAAATTATTAGCAGCATTATTTTCAGGAACAACAAAACATCCACCACCGTGAGCCTCATTATTTACAGAAGCAACTGGAGTTCCATCAATGGCAGAATTATATCAGAAGTTTTCCTTGTAAACCACAATGGCTTTAATATCTAAAGGGGAAAATAACAGCTTCAGGCTTACTCGAGCTGTGACTGTGTGTGGCAGGCAAGTCCTGTATAGAGTATTCTGCTGGGGAACCCCGGATAAACCTCCTGATATAAAGCTGGATGATTACTTAAATAAATTGCCTCCAACATCTTCAGCAAACTACTTAAGACACAAAAGCAACTTCAGGTTTAGCAAAACTGATAAGAATTTAATTAGTAATAGCCCAGATGGAACAGGGTTTAGTGTGCATTTGCTTTATTTAAGCATCAGGCTAGCCTGTGAGAATGTAGCTCCTCTCCATGATCCAAAATGGTTCTCTCCAAGTACAAAAATGGAGTACTTCGTCACTGCTGTAAAGAACATGAGGAACGACGTTATTCATAGCCAACGTCCAGTTCCTGATGAAGAGTATTTTCTCACTATGATGAAGCTTCGGGAGGTGTTAACTGGGTGTCTTTTATCATCTGGAGAGCGGTATTGGCGGGACAAGGAAGAAGTTAAGAGCGAAATACAACAGATGAATAACAACCTGGACTACATCATGAGTGAGATTCTCGGAGAGGAAGACATAATAATGTATACTAGTGATAATATTAAAGAGATTATCATTAATGACAGTTGTAATGAACTAAAGAGGGTCTTTCAAAACATGACTTTTATCAACCCGGTGTCTTTTCTCGGAATTGACCTTCCACTTAGAGTAGACAATAATTTTATCAATATCGAAGTCAAACTAGGAAATCGGAGAGGTGAAGGTGAACATATAGATTATCAAGATCTCTTCGAACTTCTTCAGACCACATCTGTGTCATTACCTGCACGACCTAAAATACTGCTACTTGAAGGTTTGGCAGAGAGTGGAAAGACTACTCTAATGAAGCTAATAACAGGGAAATGGGCAGATGGCAGTCAAGGACAAATTAAAGGTTTAGACAATTACCAACTCTTGTTGTGGGTAGAGTGCAGAGACTCTACCATGGACTCTTACCAGCATCTCCAACACCGCCTATTACCAAATATTTCATTAAATTTCGGAAATGCTCTGTCGAAAATAATAAAGCTTTGTAAGGTCCTAATACTCATTGATGGACTGGACGAACTTAATGACAGTTCTACAGCATTAGTTAAAGGTCTTTTACATGAATTCCAGAACTCTCCTTACATAACTTTTATATGCACCTCAAGACCTGAAAAGGTTGAAATGTTCAGGTTGATGATCCCTGAAGAATATGAAGTAACATATGCTGAATTACTTGGCATAAAAAAAGAATATTTGAAGGAGTTTGTGATCCGGACTCACCGAGAAATAACTCGCTACACTAATACTAACAGAAGCACTGAAAAACTGTTAAACAAGCTGAAGTCATTTGAAGGTCTTCATGAACACTTAAGATTGCCAAGTAATTTAACACTTTTTGTTTACCTCTGGGACCAACCTTCAGACGAGATAAACACAATGACCATCACTGAAACAGAAATCTACCATGAAATACATCTTCTATGTCAACGAAAGTTATTAAAAAGATTGATGAACAAAGATAGGAATGAAATTCACTTAATGGACAAGATTCAAGAAATATTAAGGACATTATATATAATATCACTTGATAGCCTTTCACGTCAACAACTTATTCTTGATGAAGCAGCAGTAGATCGACTGATATCTACTTGTGATGCATATGATATACCTTACGATGAGATTCTTTCATCATTCCTGAAATTGAAGCCAAATTGGACTTGGCTAGGTATCAAGGAGCAGTACTCAGTACCCCACCAGGGAATACAAGACTACTTCAGTGCTCTTCATATTGTAATAACACTCAAGGACTATCTAAAGTCTTCTGCACTGCCTGTCAGCATTAGGGAAGTGTTAAAACAGAGCGTCAGGGCAACTAGCATAAATATGGCCAAGTACTACAATGTTCTGGTTCATGTGGCCGGGCTGCTTCACCTCTTACTTGATCGGGTACCTAAAGCTATCACGAAGGAAATTGTCCATCTTATACGTGAGGCTAACAGGAATCTGTCTGATAAGTGTAACGTGGACCAGTGGTTGCGCCTCATTGAGAACACCAAATGCAATAATGATATTACCAGGGAAATCGCTCAATTCATCAATACTGATAAACCGATATGTATAAGAGAAAATCAGGTGTTGTGCTGCAAAGTTCTTTTTCCACACCTCAGACCATCCGAGGTGTACATTGACATCGCCAGTGAACCTGATAAAGTGTCTGATCTGCTTGACCTGCTGAAGATTCTCACCAACTGCAATCATCAATGCATAGGACTGGCCCTACACCACCACTACCTTCATGACGATGCAACCACCACGTCCGACGAGATCCTACAACATGTGCAGCCTCAGTGAGTTGTTAATCTTGACTTTTCTAGTGTTGATAAAGTTGGTGTTGGTGTTGCCGTGTTTGGCTTAGACATTAATTGTTCTGGTAGTAGCGATGTTTATGTTTTTATGGTGAGGCTGGTGTTGAGGATGTTGGTGATCACGATGTTGGTGATCACGATGTTGGTGATCACGATGTTGGTGATCACCATGTTGGTGATCACCATGTTGGTGATCACCATGTTGGTGATCACCATGTTGGTTATCACGATGTTGGTGATCACGATGTTGGTGATCACAATGTTGGTGATCACAATGTTGGTGATCACAATGTTGGTTATCACGATGTTGGTGATCACGATGTTGGTGATCACCATGTTGGTTATCACGATGTTGGTGATCACGATGTTGGTGATCACGATGTTGGTGATCACGATGTTGGTGATCACGATGTTGGTGATCACGATGTTGGTGATCACAATGTACATAACAGTAAATGATAACAAAGATAATTATTATTTATCAGTTACATAGACAAGTAGGAATTTGGGACACCTAGGTCGCAAAAAATGTCCCCCTTCGATACCTACCACTGTCATAACCACAAGTTGCTTTAGACCTATTAATTACAAATGAAATGTACATACACCAGGAATTCTGGCAAATATATAAATTTGTGGACTGCATATTAAATTAATATACATATACATATACATAAAAGGAGAATGTCTTAAAATCACTCGCCAATTTGACTGGAGATCAAGGTGTATCATACTCAGAAAACCTCACTGTCTATCCATGAAAATAACACTGGCCAGAGTTAAACATAAACAAACTTATCTGAGGTTCCTGCAGCTGTCTTGTCCAGTCGCCTGATATCTCAAGTTATGCAGGAATGCATGTCCAACAATTTCGCCTCCTATTTGAGAGGTGTCAACACAATTTTAACCTCTAGAGCAGTGGTTCCCAAACTGGGGGTAAATTACCCCCTGGGGGTAATTTAACCATTTTTGGGGGGTAATGGAGGGGTGACAGAAAAAGTTATGAATTCTGAAAATCAAGAAAACAATGCGGTACCCGGTATGAGGATTATTGTTAACTTTGTCTTAGTATATAAAGTTGTAAAGTAAACCTATTATAAGTAAGTAATAAAGTTAAACCAAATAACAATAAACATCAAAAACTAATATACAGTATTAGAAAAGAAGAAATATATAGCTAAGTGTGTGGAAACCCAAAAGTATTTTGACAAGTATGCTTCAGGACAAAAGTCACTCAGTAGCCCAGATCGACCTGTCCAGTACGCGTCACTCACTTCCTGAGGCTGCCTCTATTTCACACTGTCAGTTTATCTGTGAGCATCAGCCGAGGTAGACATAAGCTGGTATGTATGTGTACTGCCCTGTGCAGTATATAGTTAGTATTTACCCACTGTTACTGTGAATTTGTAGCTATTATTAATTTTATATATAATGTATGTGTGGTTCTTACGTTTTCAATGGTTTTGCTAAAATTAGCAGAGTATGTGAGGCTGTATACGTTCACGTTTAGCCATATATATCAATATGAACAACATTTTGTGAAAGGGGTAACATGCTTAATGTGGCATGTTAAATTGGGTAACAAGCTGAAAAAGTTTGGGAACCACTGCTCAAGAGCATGAAAATTTTTTCCCATTATTCACAAACGTTTGTGTTGACCAGTTCAAACATGGCGAGTCTCCTCTGCGGAGGCGCAGCTTCCCATTTTTTATGACATAAATTTTGTTAAATACAGTATGTTACACTAATTTACATAAAAAATACACTATTTTTTTCTGGAAAATACATTATTTTCCACAGTTATCACGATGTTGGTGATCATGATGTTGGTGATCACGACGTTGGTGATCATGATGTTGGTGATCACGATGTTGGTGATCACGACGTTGGTGATCACGACGTTGGTGATCACGATGTTGGTGATCACGATGTTGGTGATCATGATGTTGGTGATCACAATGTTGGTGATCACGACGTTGGTGATCACGATGTTGGTGATCACGATGTTGGTGATCACGATGTTGGTGATCATGATGTTGGTGATCACGATGTTGGTGATCACGATGTTGGTGATCATGATGTTGGTGATCACGATGTTGGTGATCACGATGTTGGTGATCACGATGTTGGTGATCACGATGTTGGTGATCATGATGTTGGTGATCACGACGTTGGTGATCATGATGTTGGTGATCACGACGTTGGTGATCACGATGTTGGTGATCACGATGTTGGTGATCAGGACGTTGGTGATCATGATGTTTGGTGATCAACGACGTTGGTGATCATGATGTTGGTGATCATGATGTTGGTGATTACGATGTTGGTGATCACGATGTTGGTGATCACGATGTTGGTGATCACGACGTTTGTGATCATGATGTTGGTGATCACGATGTTGGTGATCATGATGTTGGTGATCACGATGTTGGTGATCACGATGTTGGTGATCACGATGTTGGTGATCACGATGTTGGTGATCACGACGTTGGTGATCACGATGTTGGTGATCATGATGTTCGTGATCACGATGTTGGTGATCACGACGTTGGTGATCACGATGTTGGTGATCACGATGTTGGTGATCACGATGTTGGTGATCATGATGTTGGTGATCACGATGTTGGTGATCACGACGTTGGTGATCACGATGTTGGTGATCACGATGTTGGAGATCACGACGTTGGTGATCATGATGTTGGTGATCACGACGTTGATGATCATGATGTTGGTGATCATGATGTTGGTGATCACGATGTTGGTGATCACGATGTTGGTGATCACGATGTTGGTGATCACGATGTTGGTGATCACGATGTTGGTGATCACGACGTTGGTGATCACGACGTTGGTGATCACGATGTTGGTGATCATGATGTTGGTGATCACGATGTTGCTGATCACGATGTTGGTGATCACGATGTTGGTGATCACGATGTTGGTGATCACGACGTTGGTGATCACGATGTTGGTGATCACGATGTTGGCGATCACGATGTTGGTGATCACGGTGTTGGTGATCACGATGTTGGTGATCATGATGTTGGTGATCACGATGTTGGTGATCATGATGTTGGTGATCACGATGTTGGTGATCACGATTTTGGTGATCACGATGTTGGTGATCACGATGTTGGTGATCATGATGTTGGTGATCACGATGTTGGTGATCACGAAGTTGGTGATCACGATGTTGGTGATCACGATGTTGGTGATCACGATGTTGGTGATCACAATGTTGGTGATCACGATGTTGGTGATCACGATGTTGGTGATCATGATGTTGGTGATCACGATTTTGGTGATCACGATGTTGGTGATCACGATGTTGGTGATCACGATGTTGGTGATCACGATGTTGGTGATCACGATGTTGGTGATCATGATGTTGGTGATCACGATGTTGGTGATCACGATGTTGGTGGTCATGATGTTGGTGATCACGATGTTGGTGATCATGATGTTGGTGATCACGATGTTGGTGATCACGATGTTGGTGATCAGGATGTTGGTGATCACGATGTTGGTGATCACGATGTTGGTGATCACGATGTTGGTGATCACGAAGTTGGTGATCACGATGTTGGTGATCACGATGTTGGTGATCACGATGTTGGTGATCACGATTTTGGTGATCACGATGTTGGTGATCATGATGTTGGTGATCACGATGTTGGTGATCACGATTTTGGTGATCATGATGTTTGGTGATCACAATGTTGGTGATCACGATGTTGGTGATCACGATGTTGGTGATCACGATGTTGGTGATCACGATGTTGTTAATCACGATGTTGCTGATCACGATGTTCTTGATCACGATGTTGGTGATCATGATGTTCTTGATCACGATGTTGGTGATCACGATGTTGGTGATCACGATTTTGGTGATCACGATGTTGGTGATCACGATGTTGGTGATCATGATGTTGGTGATCACAATGTTGGTGATCATGATGTTGGTGATCACGATGTTGGTGATCACGATGTTGGTGATCACGATGTTGGTGATCATGATGTTGGTGATCACAATGTTGGTGATCACGATGTTGGTGATCACGATGTTGGTGATCACGATGTTGGTGATGACGATGTTGGTGATCACGACGTTGGTGATCACGATGTTGGTGATCATGATGTTGGTGATCACGACGTTGGTGATCATGATGTTGGTGATCACGATGTTGGTGATCACGACGTTGGTGATCACGACGTTGGTGATCACGATGTTGGTGATCAAGATGTTGGTGATCACGACGTTGGTGATCATGATGTTGGTGATCACGATGTTGGTGATCACGACGTTGGTGATCACGATGTTGGTGATCACGATGTTGGTGATCACGACGTTGGTGATCATGATGTTGGTGATCACGACGTTGGTGATCATGATGTTGGTGATCATGATGTTGGTGATTACGATGTTGGTGATCACGATGTTGGTGATCACGATGTTGGTGATCACGACGTTGGTGATCATGATGTTGGTGATCACGATGTTGGTGATCATGATGTTGGTGATCACGATGTTGGTGATCACGATGTTGGTGATCACGATGTTGGTGATCACGATGTTGGTGATCACGACGTTGGTGATCACGATGTTGGTGATCATGATGTTGGTGATCACGATGTTGGTGATCACGACGTTGGTGATCACGATGTTTGTGATCACGATGTTGGTGATCACGATGTTGGTGATCATGATGTTGGTGATCACGATGTTGGTGATCACGACGTTGGTGATCACGATGTTGGTGATCACGATGTTGGAGATCACGACGTTGGTGATCATGATGTTGGTGATCACGACGTTGGTGATCATGATGTTGGTGATCATGATGTTGGTGATCACGATGTTGGTGATCACGATGTTGGTGATCACGATGTTGGTGATCACGATGTTGGTGATCACGATGTTGGTGATCACGACGTTGGTGATCACGACGTTGGTGATCACGATGTTGGTGATCATGATGTTG